GCTCTTGGTCGGGCATGACTTCCGGCTCCGGCTGTTCCGTCTCAGCGGATCCAGGGCGTATCAGAATCTGGTGACGGATAAAGTACGCCTCCGAGCCGTAGGCCCCCGCGCCGTATGCCTCAAGAATGTTGACAAACTGAAAGTAGTGACGTGTCGTCTTAGACTCAGCAAACATTGTCACGTACACGCTCACTCCACCGTACAAGGGGACGGCGGAGTAGCTCTCCACGCAGAGCTCGCACCCCTGAAGAATCTGAGCCCATTGCTCTACAGCCCGAGGGACGTCCTCGTTTCGGACTTCTGTTGTGCCGTATACGAAGTCTACGATTGTTAAGGACGAGTTCGGGCCGTACATTTCCGCGAGCTCCGCGGGGTTGGACGCGAGGCGTTCAAAGAACGCGGGGATGAATTGGCAGGCAACCTCTTGAGACGTTAGCATGACTTCGGGTTGTTGCTTGGCGAGGAGATTAGCGTACCTACACTTCCGGCGCCACAAGAAAAAACAAGAAGAAAAAAAAATTTTAAAAGAACACATCCATACACACGTGATTATGTGCTCAAATAGCAGCCACAAAGCCGATACAAAGATCGTTGTGAAAGGAGTCGGTTCATACAGAACTCGGCATCAAGGAACAACTGAAAACAACAACAGGATTTGTAATTTGGGCACTGCCACTTGATACCAAACCAACACCACTAGACCGCTTTCAAGTCATCGCAGGGAATTGCCCACTTTTTGAAGGTCGCCACACACAATGAAACAGTTCGAGAGTCAACGGGTGATTCGGTCGCCTTCAACGCAGCGATGAGTCGCCGGACACTGTCAACATCAACAACGAGACAGAGCAAACGCATAAGACGTATGGACAGTTTGCTTTCGATGGAGATGGACCTTTTCTCATGGTACCCAACCATCTGCATCGCGGTAAAACCATCCTGTGCGTCAATTGCCAGCTCAAGTGCCCCACGAAGAAAATCACTTGAAACCTCAATTCCTAAATCAGACATCTCCGCCAAAACTTCTGGTATTCGTGCCGTTGAACTCGCCGCGTCAGGCATGGAGAGAAGTAGAAGCAAAAACGTGCGCGATGTCTTCACTGCCCCAAGACTCTCAAAGGCGGCAAACACCATGGCTGCTTTTCCCTCGTCCTTCAGCAAAGCGGCAGCTTCCATGAGAACATTAAGGGACTTATGGCTCACCTCACCCCCAGCTTCCCGCCGCTCGTCCAGAATAGCCAGCCCTTTCTCTACACTTGCTTCACCAAATGCAACAAGGCGCGCAAGTGTCATGATTGGATCTGCGTTGAGAAGAGTCACTTTTCTGGACTCCAAAAACAACTTTGGCCGAGGACCTGGTTGACAATGTGTCTCAGGCACCTCATCTTCCAGCACCGTCAACGCCTCCTTCAGCATCGCACCCCGCGATGCAGCCTCTAGGAACAGCAAGGATACAGCCGGTTGACTTGTTGGAGATATTATGCCCGGGTGTTTGCGGAGGTATTCTCGAACGTAGACAGCAGATGCCACGTCTCCCCATTTGGCACACTTGGCCAGGAGTTTCAATGCTGTGAGTTCGTTGTTTAACACAGGGTCAGTTGAGCCCACATTCGTCCTTTCTGTTTCTGCATCTTCCGAAACCGCTCGTAGGGAAGCGCCCTCCGACGTAGTATCCTCCAATTTCCGCGTTGCCTCTAAAAGTTCTAATATCTGAACCGTCGTTGCAGGAGGTGCTGCTGCATTGTTGGCGCTGAGAAGCATATACGGTAGCAGGAGTCGGGAAGAAATTCTCTTCTGGTCTACGAGCTTCAGAAGGTCAAAGCATTCGTGGATCATCGTAACGTCATGGTGTAAACGAAGAATGGTCTGGAAACAATGCTGCAGCCGCACCTCAAGAAGTGGATATTGGCCTGGTTTTCCGGACTTTGCGATGCTCAGCACCTCGTCCCGTATCTCCGGCCACCACACGGAGTAGTCCTGCCCCAGTCGTATGTACAAGATAAACAGAGAGAGCCGTGTTACGACATCGGGATGGATGGCTCTTGCACGCATGACCTCCACGACATTCTCAATCTCGTACTGGTTGAAGCTGTCCGTCAAAGAAATGGCAAGCAGGTACACGTTGAAAAGTTCAATCGACGGGGAATGGAGCTCCAACAAACACTGGGCAAAAAGAAAACGAAGGTCCTCCATCTTCTGAAGATCGCAAAGAACTTTCATCATGACAAGGGCAAACGGCTCCACGTCCTCAGACGCACCACAAAATTCTTCAATCGGCTTCACCGCTCTCCCTGAAGCCGCCTTATCGGCCATGACCTGCCGGTAAAAGGCTCGGAACTGTTCAAACACACCCCCCGCCGCAGGAAGTCCCTCGCCTTCAGCCTGAAGCATCTTCAGAACGCGGCGATACGGAAGTGATGCGGAACCCGAAGACTTTACTCTGCCACCCGCAGCGGCCACTCGCCGCAAGAGGCTCAACCGCCACATGAAGACCAGGACCTTCTCCTGCCTGCAACACACACAAACAAAGTAAGAAGAAGCGGGAAAGAATCAGATTAACATCCTCCTTGTATCTGGCTTCTCTCTCCCTGAGACTCTTCAAAGCAGAAAGAATACAAAGCCAAACACCACACACACAGACAGACAGACACACGCAGACAGGCAAGGGGACGTATAAAAATCGCATAACGACGGGAAACAGCTCCAACGGCCACATTACGTCCTCGCTATGTGCCTGGTTTTATTTCTCGTTTCCGTTTCGTAAACATATCCAAGCTATTTTCACAACTGGCAGTCCTTCAACCTCATTATAGAAGCAACGAATAAACAAAAAGGAAGCGCGGCAATTGTTAGGCGCAAACTTTGCTACCGCGTACAATATTCCAGGGTGCAGCCGCAATCCCCCTTTGTACACACAACCTCATCTCCCTATTTTATTCGCTCCTCAAAGAAATTTTCATATCATTACTACTCTTCCACAGAATCTGTGGAGTCTTTCTCAGTTACTTCCGCCCTCCTTGCGTAATTCATCTTCATCACCACGTAGCCTGGGGCAAATTCATTGACCGTACGATTCTGCAGTTCATACTTCGGGTAATACTCCGCTTCAACCCCAACGTTCTGTCCCTTCTGGTACAGCCTTCCAACATCACTGTCAGGATCAATGAAGACAATCACGGAAAAACGTATTGGAGCAAAAACTCCCAACACGGTGTTTATCCGCTCCGAATAATTGACCGCGGGTGTATTCGTTTCATACGAGGCAAAAGAGCAGTGATCTTCTGGTGTTATGTGGATCGTCTGGTATTCTGCACCACGAATTGTATTTATACTATACCCACACGGCTCAAATTGCAAATCATGCAACTTCCATGAGTCATCTGCCACCTTGTCCAGTTTTGTCGCCTTGCGGATAGCGGCCGTCTCCGTGCCTGTTGAGATAAAACGATCCGAGAACCAATGCTTCGTCTGCGTACGATCTAGCCCGTACATTGTCATACTCAACTGTGTATCGTTCTCCGTCTCACATGGACGAATAACGTCGTCATAGACAAATAGAAAGTAATGATCACTATCGACAGGACCAAATATAAAAGGCTTTCCCGATGGAAAGTACGTTCTTAAAGTGTTGAATTCCTCTGCCATGGAGAGATGTGGTCCCTTCTGTTCCCACGGAAAACTGTAGTTCTTATGCATGAAAGAGACCCATTCCACCTCCCCTCGTACATCACTAACTGCGTCCAAAACGAAAGGAACGGCATTAAGTAGAGTCGTCGTGCCACATGTGATCAGGATGATACGGTCCCGCATGACAAACAATGAGCTTTCCGTTAGCACATAAGAGCGAATATACTCATTACTCTCTTTGGATACAATTTGGGCATTTAACGAGCCCACCACACCTTTCCATACCTCATCTCCAAGGGCATGGAGGCCCTCCGAGTGGGTCTCGTCAATAATACGCATGATCACCTCCAAACGTTTTTCCGGCCCCTCAAAACTGGCCCCCTGATTTGGGTCGTAGCCCTTCACTGAACCCCACATCGCCATCAAAGAGAGAGGGTCCTTATTGCTTAACATGATACCTCGAGACACACACCCACCCGCACACGCAATGAAACCAAATGTATGTAATTGTTATACACCGAGAATCACTAACTACTCCGCCTGCGCAACAAAGACAAAAATAACAAGAAGAAAAAAAGGACAGGTGCACCATTAAGAAGTATATGTGAGTAAGAAAAGAAAAAAGAAAAAAGCACTAAGAAGAAAATGCATGTCACCCATATCTTAATTACGCCAGCAGTGGTGCCAAAATCACGGCAAAGTTTGCCTTTTCTTTTCTTTTCTCCTTTACCTTTTCCTTGGTGGCCAAAACTGCCCTCTCACAGCACCATTCGTGGTGTAACAACAATTTTTTAGGAGATGTATGTAAGTGCAAATAAATGGACCCACTGAGTTTGCCTGCGTCTCGGAAATGTCACCTCTGCTTCGCTCTGCCTCAGCCATTTTCACATTTCTTTCCATAAATAAATTCACTTTCCACTGGCCATTTTGGGCCCACGATTTCTCGACGCACCGGGTCGCTCCGTGCGACTCATCTGCAGGAGACTCCGCCACCGCAAGGCAACTCCCTCTCCAGAAACCACCCACGCATAAAAAACAAACAAAAAAAAAAAAAAAAAAAAAAAAAACAAGACAAAACAAAACAAAACAAAAAAAAAAAAAAAAAAAAGAGAGAGAGAAATAAAGATAAAACCCAAGAAAAAAAAAAAAAAGAAAAAAAAAAGAAAAGCGCACATGAACCCAAACTTTTTCCCCCCTGAACAAAACAAAAAAAAAGGAGTCAACGGCGGTCAAGCCCTCCCACAACAAGAGAACGAGGGAATAAAGGCAAAAACTAACCCATATGTATGTGCATGTGAATTTTCCCGCGCAAACACATGCCTGCGTCACAAAACTCCTTTTCTCAGATGACGCGTATTGCGGGGAGAGGCACAAATTCACTTATCGTCATGCATACCCACACACGTGCGTCTTTTTTTTTTCTTTTTGCAATTGGGGGCGGGTGGAAAGAGAGAAGAAGAAGGAGAGAAACAATCCAAAAAAACAAGGCAACAAAACCAAAATGAGAAGAACAAAAGAATGCCTCAACCCCTTTCGTGTGTGTGTTTGTGTTTGTGTTTGTGTAAAAAAAAAAAAAGATGTCAAGTTGATTTTCCTTTTCTTTCTTCTTGTTCTCTCTTCCATCCACGCACAAAACGTCTCCCAACTCCATACACACACACATAAGAGAAAGAAAAAAAAAAAAAGAGAAAAATTCCCCCCTCTCCTCCCCTTTCTCGAATGCCCATTCGCCATTCAGCTTCTCATGCATCTTTTCCCCTCCCCTTCTGGGCCTTTTGCTCTTCTCCATTCTCACCTATTTTCTATGTGCCGCCATACGCGCATCTTTCCATCTGTCCCTATTTTTCCTCTTATTTTACCCGTTTTGGGAGTCTACATCTCGGCTTTCCTCTCGCATTGTCATCCCAATTTTTATTGCCCAATCCATTACACAAAACGTATTTTCCTTCTTTCTCCTCATATATATATATATATATATATATATATATGTATATACACTTCTCTTTCTCTTTTTCTTTCTCTCGTTTTGCTGCTCTTTTGCACGCTTCTCTCCTCTCCTCGTGCACCGCAGCTCTATTAGACTACATATTCTTTCCTTTCCTACATGCCTCGGCTTCTGCAATGATCATTTCAGTTTGTTGTGCTCATAATTAAATTGTTTTTTATTCCTTTGCCTTTCTTTCCTTATGGTACGACTCGGAATAAAAGCTATATATATATATAATAATAACAAAATGATGATTTGCGTGCGATAATAAAAATACCCCCCTCCTGCTGAATTCGTCCATTGCGTGAGTTTCCCTTCGTTTCTTCTCAACTCCCACACCGCCTCTCACTCTCCCTTTCCCTCTCATTTGTTTGCATGTGTGCGCATGTGCAGAGAGGGACGGCGTCACAGGCACTGCCTGCAGTAGACGCCCGCATCCGCGCATATCGACACGCCCACACGCAAACAAACAGACGGAGCGGGTAGAGGAGAAGCGGGGCGGGAAAAAAAAAATGAGAAGAATCACGAAGATCGAGGCTCAACTCAGAACGCCGCTTCTCGATTTTCTTCATGTGTACTTCATTCCTTCTTCTTGGCGCAAAAAAAAAAAGACTTCTTTCATTACGTTTTTTCTCTCCGTTCCTCTTTTTTTTTTTTTTTTTTTTCCCTTCTTTTGTAGTGAACTCCAACAAATTACGATGCTTCTCTTCTCGAGGGCCGTTCACTTATTTATCGGGATTGTCGTACACAACCATATATATCTTCTTTTTCTCTCCCCGTCCGTGCCCTCAGCGGACACACACACCACCAAGGCAGCTCTATCAAATGGAAATAGTTACAACAACAGCAAGTTGAATGCCCCTCACCTCGTCAATCAGACGTGAGTTGTTTTTTTTTTATTATTGAACGAAAAAAAAATTCTTTTCTTTTTCCTTTTTTCTCATTGTTGATTGTTCAATAAATTTATTTTCCCTCACGTCTGCGGGGTGCTGCTTGCTTTTGCTTGTTGATGATTTAAGGATGAAGCGCGCCAATAATAATAATAATAAACCCGGTCGTGATGAAATGGCTCGGCAGAGGGCAACACACACACACGTACAACACATTGGCTACATAAAAACACGGACGCACATACGTACACTCACAAAGGACACAATTCTTTTAAAATTATGGCTGGCCGGTAGGCCGCATTATTTCCCACACCTCCGTGTCATTGGAGCCAAAAAAAAAAAAAAAAAAAAACGGTGCTTCTCATTCCCGCCCCCCACAACTTTCTCCTCCTTCTCGCCGCCGCGGCAACGGAGCCACGAACAAACATCACACACAACTGAAGCAGAAGAGAGGGAGGACTGTGGGGAATGCGCGGCACCAAAAAACGACTCGACACTTCGGTGGGGAAAAGGGCGTCGGCCGCCTCCGCCAAAAAAAAAAAAAAAAAATAATAATAAAAGGCAGATTACAAAATAACAACAGACTTGCGCCGAAAGCCCAGTGATGCGACCTGTCGGCAAAACACACCAAATAGCAGCAAAAGGACGGATAAAAAAAAAAAGACGCAAATTAAAATTATAGATGATACAACAACAACAAAATAATAATAATAATATTTTTACATTATTTTCTGTGAGAATAGTCCTCCAATGCGACTTATGTCCTTCTTCCGGGAGTATTTGCGTGTGTTTGAAATGTGTGTACGTGTGTGTGTTGCCCGCCGAACTTCATTCACGAAAGAGCAGGCGCCTATCCGCCAGTTCGAGCTGCCGGCGTGCCCACGAGAAATGGACACGGCGGTTAAGAAAAAAATGCCCCCCGTAGAGGTCTACTTCATTTGTTCCAGGTACGGGTTCTTTCGAGGGAACACGTCACAGGTGACGGCAAAAGGTAAGGTGACAGAGCACCTCCCGCCGCCTGTTCTGTGCCCCTCAGTTTTTTTCATTTCTTCCGGCATTACTGCTGCGCAGCATCCTTCACGAGCCACATGCGTAAAGCACGTAGACACGCACACTTTAAAAAGTGACCCTTATCGCAGTATTCATTGCGACAATTTGGTGTAGCGGCTCACGCAGTGTGAATGCGTGAAGGATGCTGCGCAGGGGGAAAATAATAGCGGGGGAAGAAGTCGGCTCAGCAGTTTTTTATTGACTCAAATAAACAAACGGAAAAATAAATAAATAAAAATTAAAGGGGGATCGCAGCAAAAGTGGTGTTGAGTGCTTCAAAGAAGACAACTCGGTGAACTGGCACAGGAAATGACAGAAGGAGGATGTATTTATTTCTTAAAAATAAAACAATCAAAAAAACAAAAAGGTGGAAACAAATAAAAAAAGACATGCCCAAGAAAGAGATAAAAGAAGGAAAAAGAAAAAGAAAAAGAAAAAAAAAGAAAAGAGAGGAAACAGTCGCCCACTCGCTTTTCTCTCCCTCCTCCTCCTCCACCTCCTCCTTTTTTTTCTCTCTCTATTGTTATTTCATTGGCCCGTTATTCGGCGCGAATATAGCTGGTCTGGTGGAACGCGTAGCCCTGACCAAAGTGGTTGGTTGCCCGGTTCATTATGGTATAGCCCTCCATCTCGTCAAAGATGCTGGCTTTCTGGGCAAGAGGACTGCAGCGGTCCTGCAACACAACCATCGTGAATCGGTCGGGGCAAAATTTCTCCAGAAGACCCCTCACAAGCTCCCGCTTCTTCGTAGCGGCTATCATAGCGTTCGTTTCAAATGCCGCAAAGGGATGCGCCGTGTTGTCTGTGGAGACGCGCAGCATCTCGTACTCTGTTTCTGACAGTGGAACCACCTGTTGGACGCTCTTTAGAGCATCATCGTCGTCACCAGACCCATCTGTCTTGACATTGTACATATAAACATTGATCTGCACATCGTCTTCGGGTGGGGCGCCCAAAACATTCCGTTCAATCGCGTCATAAACAAAGTAAAAGAAGTGGTCACTATCAAGAGGCCCTGTCAGGTACGGGTGACCAGACGGGAAGACGGACTTCAGCTGCGCGTACTCCTGTGCCATTATCTCACTCATCTCGCACAAGGAACTCCACGGGGAAGTCGTGTTCATGCGCATAAAAGAGGCCCATTCAATATCAATGCCGTGGCTGCGAAGAAGGTCGAGCAGCGGACCCAAAATTTCATGCAGTAGCACAGAGGAAGATGATGTCACAATGACGTGTCGCTGCGTCAACTGCATCAGACTGTTTCCAAACACAAGGGAAATAAGGCCCTTTTCGGCGGAGTGCCGCTCCAACAACTCCCCGGCGTGTGACATGACAGACTCGAGGTCCAACACCGCCACTTCGCTCGGCACAATAACCCCGCGAAAATCCAGCTCCAGTCGTTTCTCAATACCGCAATCGTTGGCGTTGCGTGGCCCATCAAACCCTCCCCACATCGCCATCAAGGCGTGCACGGATTCCGGGACCTCCTCCCGCGCGGCTGCCCAGGTGCTCTCCAACATTTGCTCTCAGGTGAGGGTCAAAAGCACGCAATATATAAAAAAAAAAGAGCAAAAAAAAAAAATTCAACCGTCGAGAAAATTTAAAAGGTTTAGTTTTAAAATTTGCTTCCCTTTTTTCCTTTTTGCGTGTTTTTGTTGTTGTTGTTGTTTTTGAAGCCAAATAATAATAATAAAAAAGAAGAGGTGTGGAGAAGGCTGAAAACAGACACACAAGAAAAAAAGGACAAACAAAATTCGCCCCAAAGAAGGGAAAAAATATTTCTCACGCACACAACTCACAGAAAATTCGCACAAAACATTAGTTGACCCAATTGTGTTCTTGGGATTGTTACAAAACCGAACGGCATTTTCTGTTTCCTTTTTTCCACCCCCCTCTGTTTCCCCTACAAATAACAATAGCAACAAAGGTGACCGTTTAAATCAATTTAGCATCCCAATGTTTAAAGAATTGCACGTCTCTTGTTGCTTCTCTTGCCTCATTTGACCTTCCTTAAGCTTTATTTGTGCGTGCGTGCGTGCGTTGTTGGGCGTTCCTCACACGTCTAAAGAATGCTCCTCATTTTTTCCAGGCCTTCTATAATTTGCTTCTCCTGTGCCGTGAGCGTGTCAAGCTTCTCACTGTTCGCAGTCCGCACATCCGCAGGTACTTTCATGTCGTAGTTTGGAATGGACATCTTTTTCTTTAGGCCTTCAATCTGCTTTTGAAGTCCTACAAGCTGCTTGTCGAGCTTCGCAACCTCCTTCTGCACGTCAATAAAACCCAAGAGCATCATGTTGACGCCCACCTCCTTGTTCACAACAGAAAACCCGCAGCCCTTTGGAACATTGGCTTCCACTTCCTCCGGCGAAATGACGGAAACATTTCCCACCACACCGAGGGAAATCACCATGTAGCTGTGATCCATAAGCAACTGCTTCACCTCTGAGGTTTGTGCGGTAATCCACACATCCGGTTTGTGCTTGTTTGTAAGAGAATATGAGGCTTTGGTGGAACGGACATTGTGTACGGTATCCATCATAATCCTCATTTTCTCCTCCACCGTGTCATTCTTCCATCCAGCCACTGCGGGGTACGGGGCGAGCATGATACTCTCCACCTCAAAAGTATTGTAATTTGGTAGGCGATGCCAGAGCTCTTCTGTGAGAAAAGGCATCATGGGGTGAAGCAGACGTAGCGCGACTTCCACCACATATAATAATACATCCTGCACCAGCTGCTTTCTATCACCACCAGCATGAATGGAAAACTTCGTCAGCTCAAGGAAGACATCGCACAGCTCATACAACCAGAAGCGGTAGGCTGAGTTAGTGGTAAGGGCAAAGTCATAAGAGCCCTCTGAAAACCCGCGGGTACATTCCTCCACCGCCACATCAAGACGGGAGAGAATCCAACGGCATTCCAGTGGATAACTCTCCGCCCTTGAAACGTCGATCACTGTCAGGCCCGGTTTGTATTCCGTTCCCAATGCGTGGTAGAGGACGTACCGCACCGCATTCCATAATTTGTTGCAAAATTGGCGGTAGGCGACGATGCGATCAATGTCAAGATTGACGCTTCTTCCTGATTGAGTATATGAAAGAAGGCCAAACCGGAGTGCATCGCTACCGCATTCAGGAATGCCATTCGGGAACGTCTCCTTCTGCAACTTTAACGCCCGGGGAACTTCCTTCTCATCCAAATTACCATTCGTCACCGTGGAGTGCAGCCCCTCAAGAGTGATACCATTAATAATAAAAAGTGGGTCAATCACATTCCC